ATAATTGGTGTGAACAACACTGCATATTTAAGATGAATGATTTAAGCTGTTTTATGTTTCTAGGGATAAAAAGCATATTGCACCATCCAAATGAAAGTGAGCAGTCATTAATTCACTCTCTTATAAACATGATCTAATAAATCCATAAAAGATTCCTCTATTAAACTAGTCAGTTGTCCTGGCTCTATTAAGTTCCCCTTTTATTATCATCTGTACAAATTCTGTCCCAGAATTCCAGCAGAATGTGCCAAGAAAAAAAATTGTTTCTCCATCAGTCTTAAAACCCCAGGAGATGTGTAAAATAGGAAGAAACGAATTACCAGTCTATCCATTAAAAAATTGTCACTACTGCTTGGATACAGTCCACTAAAGTCCACCATTTTTGCTACACTATAAATGGTACAATGTTTTATAAACAGCAGATGTTTTAAAACTGAACAATGACAGAAAATAATTTAAAAAGTAATCAAGATGGCAGAGTTAAAAATGTGACTTTCCTGTACTAACTTGTCGATTCCTGAAGTCCTGAATGTGTAGATTCCACTTCAGTCTCAAAATGACCTCCAAAGTGATGTGAAGAAATGGCATTTTGTCAGTTAAATGTTTCATGATTTTTTTTAAACTTCACACATTCAGCCTACTTATCTTGTATTTGTCAAAACAATTTGTCTAAGTGATGTTCTATACCATAATAAAGGATTTTAATGTGCAAAGAAGTCTTTTGTGCATGTGCAAACGCTGTGGTGCTTTAGAGCAAATAACTGGAAATGCCCATCAAAAGCATAACAGTCTGCCTGTGATAAACATTAAATAGAGTAACAGGTTAGTTCAAGACTGACTAGTTACACAATAGGAAAGCACATAAAGACAGACAGATGTTGAGTTATGTAAATTACAGCATGATTCAAGTGAACTAAACTCTTTAATCCAATAAAATCCTGAAGTTCTCAATGAAAGGAAGACCGTAAGTTTCAAAACCAAGTCTTTGATGAGAAACAGAGTTTATTGTGATATAATTATGATTGTAAGTAATACTATAATTTATTTTCAATCAAAATGTATGCTCTCATGATAATATTCATATATAAAAGCAGTGAGAAATACCCACAAGCTGGTGATTTAAGTCTCTCTTCTATTCATGTCCTATCTTTCCAATATTTTCTGCTTCAGTTTACATTGTGACTATATTTTTAAAACTTCTGATCATAACAAAAGCATACAGCATTTGACAGGAAGAATAGCTGTTCCATTCTTTTTCCCTTGCATTCAATCTCTCTCCTGCTTACTTGCTTCCAACAAGAATCTTTAGGTTTTTAGCCAATTTTTTCTTCCAGCTTGGTCTGATCCTTCTCTAAAAAAATATTTTATGATCACTGGAGGAAAAAAAAAAACATGGTTCCAGTTTTCAGTATAAAGTGAAACAACACAGCTAAATTTTGGTTTTCCACTAAGAGTTCTAATACCTATAGTTTACATATGCTTTCAGTTTAGCTGGAAGCCAAAACTGAAGCTTTGTATGCTACCCTTACCTAAATGCTGCCGACGTTATTTTAATGATTCAAACATTTGTTTGAATTTTACTTCACTGTGAACTTTTTGAAAACTGCTCTTGCAGCATCTGCTGTCTTTTTTCCATCTTAACTAAATTTTTATAGTAATAGGTAAGAATTTTCACACTGCATATGGCTATCAGAACAATGAAAATAGGAAAGTTTAGTGAATAAAGCAGAGATCCATATACCTTGTTCAGTAAATTTATAATAGAAAGCAGAACACACAGAACTGTTGGACCCAAGCTCTTTCATGCAGGAAAAGCATTAGACTAGCTATCAAACTGAAGTTGAAGTACAGACTCTACACTTGATAAGATATCCAAGTGTCCTGGTTTCGGCTGGGATAGAGTTAATTTTCTTCCCAGTAGCTGGTACAGTGCTGGGTTTTGGATTTAGGATAGTCAAGGACTTTTCAGCTTCCCATGCTCTACCGACTGAGAAGGCTGGAGGTGCACAAGAAGCTGGGAGGGGGCACAGCCAAACTGGCCAAAGGGACATTCCATACCATGTGACGTCATGCTCAGTACATAAACTGGGGGAAAGCTGGCCGGGGGGGCCACTGCTCGGGGACTGGCTGGGCATCGGTCGGCGGATGGTGAGCAATTGCACTGTGCATCACTTGCTTTGTATATTCTTATTATTATTATTGCTATTAGTAGTAGCAGTAGTAGTATTTTATTTTATTTCAATTATTAAACTGTTTTTATCCCAACCCACGAGTTTTCTTACTTTCACTCTTCTGATTCTCTCCCCCATCCCACCAGGGGGGCTGGTGGGGTGGGTGGGCATGAGCGAGTGGCTGTGTGGTGCTCAGTTGCCGACTGAGGTTAAACCATGACACCAAGTACACAGGCAAGACAAGAACTCCTGCCTGGCACTTCTCATTATGGTCTCTTGAGAATATTTCAATGGCATCTAACTATTTAAGTCAAATATTTGGAATCCCCTTTTTTCCTCCGCATCTCCCGACGAAATGAACTAATTTAACCTAAAATTTACTAAGACCATATCTCAGAAGTTTTTCCTTTCAAAATATCCCAAACCAAGAGTGAAGACCAGATCTGTGGCGGACACTTGCTATCATAACATCAGGTGACCTCTAGCATCAAGGACAATGTTTAGAAAGCAGTTGATCTATGAATGATAGGTCTATCAATGCATCTTGAGAGTTCCTGCTTTAATCCTAAGGCACCGAAGTCTCAAACTAAGCTTCTGCTAGGTTCACATACAGAAGGAAAGGTTGAGAAGTAGAACTTCATTTTTAGAACAATTCCAAGCATTATCTCACTACTTAAATATAAGCAACCTGAAGCAAAGAACAATTATTATATAAGCTGAACCTCTTACAGTAAGATTTTTTCCAATCTTCCCAATCCAAAATAAGATTTACCTTTTTCCAGGCCTCTCCGATAGATTCATGCAAGCCATAAGGAATTACCATCTGCAGGCCTTCACAAGTTCTGTACATCTGACGACATACAAAAATGAAAGCTCCTTTAACAACTGGCAAAATCTCGGATCCAGATAAAAGAGAAATGTCGTCACGAAGAAGTTTCTTTGTAAACTGAACAATTACATGAACAGCTGTAGGACTAGAAATAAAATAACACTTTTAAAATGTTGTTTTGTAGTCATAAATAAGCCTTGAAACAAATCCTCTGACTAAACTTATTTAATTTTTTCTAGGGGAAAAGAAAATATGGAAAGAAACTATGATCCACTGTGGAGGGGCCAACCATATTATAACTTGTAACATCAGTCAGAAGAAGAGAAATGTACAGCAAGGGATTTTACTTTGGCTACAGGTTTACATAAAGCAAAAATGCATCCATTGTCTTCCATCCAGCCCACATAGCCATCAGCTACACAGACTGTGTGTTTTACAGGAGACCAGTTGGGAAGAGTAACAAGACAATCATTTTAGCTTCCGCTTAATCAGTGTTAAGGACATCACTACAAGGCAAAATTTGTCCTTCTTCCTTTTTCCTAACTGAGATCTCCTTCTGAAGTCTTCTAGGCTTGCAATGCAAAGGACAACTCTTTCTCTAAAATACTCTTTTACTTCCAACCCCCCTTAAAAACATATGCAACTTCTGAGATTTCTCCACCTCGAAGACATACATTCCATACATTTTCATGACCTGCAGTTTAGATATTTTTATAGGCTAGTCTCAATTTTACCTCCTTGTTTCAAGTTTTAGCATCAGCTAACAATATACTACCCAGAGGATCACCCAAATCCTAAGTTAGGTACGGTGTTACGAATGTCAGCTTCTGATACAAGACCTGTCTCTACTAGATGTATTGAAAAGTGAATGCTACATTAAATCTATTCTTTCAATAAATTAGGTTGATTTTTAATATTTATTCTAAAAACAAACAAACAAAAACAGAGAAAAGAAGCCTTTGGCCTGAACAGCAGCACTATGGATATAATGGAACTACATTCAGAGAAAGGAAAGCTCTCACATGAATAAGAAGAACAAGTAAACCATGGAAATCTCCCTTAATAAAAGTATTTCTTTAAATTGTCATTTCACCTGGTTATACACATAAATGTCTCCCTAATACATTCTCTAAAACACTCACTACTTTACTGGATAATCAGGTATTTTACTCCAAACATAAACAAAACATATCACGTTATAGATAAAAGAAAAAAGAGAAATGAGTCTCATAAAACCAATGTAATTCATTAAATTACTCACTAATGCTGTTCATTAATGCACTCTTACCTATCTTCTTTGGCAGTTTTTTCATTTTCTCCATAAAGAAGAAGAGAAAGACCATCTTCTACAGCAGCAATCCTTGCCAAAATATCAGCTACATCAATTAAAGTGGTTTCAAGACAATTTATATACACCTATTTGGAAGAAAGAAAAAAAAAAAGTTTTCAATTCAATGCTTTTGTGAAAGCTGTTTATTCAAGTCTGGCTTATGTATGCAGAACCTGAAGGTCACCTTTCTGATGACTGCTTAAGGAAAGGTTAATGCTAAATTGGCCATTGCTCATTAATAAATGAAGTCAATATTTCAATAGTAGACAAGCAGAACATGGGTGCTCCATGAAGAACCTGTCAGGCAGCAGCAAGGGCAGGATGTTCTGCAAGGGACAAGAAGCCAGGAACTGAGTGTGGTAACGAGGCAGGCAGAGGCAGTGGCTTGCCATTGGATAGGCAGGCAGTCCCACCATACCCAAGCAAGGTGAGCAGATGAGGTCCAGTGAGAGTAACTAGGTTCACCCAACAGTCCAGATCCCCTCCACAGTGATGAGGGAGGTCCAAGGTTAAGCCAGGAAGGCCAGCGAGTGAGTCAGGGTCAGCTCCAGATACAGTAGCCAAGGTCAGACACAGTCCAATGATCGCCATGCAACTCGATCTATAGTGACAAAGCAGGTCTGAGGCAAAGCAAGTGAAGAAGTCATGTCTGTGGGTCGGGGTTCAGATCAATGGGACACTAGGCTTCCATACTGCTACAACATAGTACAGGCAGGGAATGAGGACAAGAATCTGAGCTTAAAAAACACTCCTGAGTGGAATGTGGAGTGAGTCCACACTGAGGCTTACTAGTAGAGTCATCGCTGGGGGGATCTCTGCTGAAGCTTCCTAGCAGAGCTTTCTCAAACAGCTCTCTTCAAGGCTGTACACCAACACTATTACCTCTGCTGGCCCTGAGCCCAGGCTGCCAAGCCCAGGGGAGGGAAAGTAATGGGGAGATGTGCCGACGGCCTGACAGTAGACAACAGCTGTAATTCTACAGCACTTATGCAGTGTCCTAAAGATGCTCACCAAAACTCTGTTCCTGTCCGTATGCCTCAATAATTTGGTCATGAGATAATCAGAGCGTACCTTCTCACCCAGGGACTGAGAAACACTGCAAATTCCTAGGACTTATACACAAACGTACTTAGAAAGAAGGACAGTTTTCAAAGTGAGAAGCCCTCTTTGGAAGCTTCCCCCTATCCGTGCTCGGGACAACAGAGTGGAGTCAACAGTGAGATGAGCTAGGGGGGATTACTGTTCCCAGTAACACTTGTTAAATATCTATTATGTCAGAATGGGGAATAAAGCACCACTCTCCTGAAGCTGAAGTCCACTGCTTAAAACTTTTCCACTCTTCTGTTATTCATCAAGGACAGCTGGACTCACAAGAGAAATTATTTTAAAAATGCTATGCAATCCAGCTCCTGCTTCTTCTCTAGCTCTATATTTTATATACAGGTAGCTCTATATTTTATATAGTGCACAGAGGAAAATACTCTTCCTACTTTTAAATTTAAGGAATTTACTATTAATGCCGGTGGTCAAAGTAACCCAAGAGAAAAACCGATTTCGACTTTGTTTTTTTAGTTAAAATTTTCAGTGATACAGAGGGTTAAAAATCTCCCTCACCTTTTATTTTTAGGTTACTGGGTATCATTGTGCAGGATTCTAAGAAAGGAACATACTGTACTGTCACTGTTTCTTCAAGTGCGTTATTATTTTGCTTTCCTGTGCAACACCAGGAAAAACCCAAAAACATGGTACTTTGTTTATTTAAAATGTGAATGCAATGTTCTGCACCAGCTATGCTTCAGCAGCAACTCAGAGGCTACAGAGCCCAAAAGGTCAATACTGCTGCCCACAAACTGATCATTCTGACAACTCCTGCTTATAGCCACCGAGTTTCTCCTTCCCTCTCTATTACAGATACACAATAATACTCTGCTTAAAAGGCAAGTAAGGCTTGCACTTACCTGAGTGAATTCAGAGCTCAAATGTAAAATAACAGCATTGTGTTTGCTCATCAGGCCCACTGTACAACCAAGGAGCCCCATACGCAGCTCCAGTGCTACCCACCCGCCAACCCCAGCTGAAGAAAGATGCAAGCGTGGCCATAGCCTTCCTTTTGAGATAGGCATGGTCCAGTATTAGAGTCCAGCATTAGGATTCCTGGATGTCTAAGAAGTGCCATGGTTTGGTTGGGAAGCAAAATCAGTTCAAATTCTTGTAAAAGAGGAAGAGGATCACTCTGACCTGGCCTACCTTTTCTAGCTATTGGTTTGCCAGATGCAATACAAAACAATTTGCACCTTCGTTAGAACAAATATGACATATTCCAGATTCATAACACATAACCAACCTACTACAGCTACTGTGCATTAAATACTCCTGAACATGACCTGTTTTTTTAAACAGACCAGTTACTAAGTCACAGGAGGCTTTGCAATTTGTTAAGAGTTCAGCTACCTGCGAGAGACAGCTGAGCACGGCAGAAACAAAAAAAGATAGGGAAGAACTGCTAAACGTTGAGATAATTTATTTTTTAACTACTAATGTATAATAAAGAAGAGAGACAGGTGTATATGCTTTAGATACCATGTGACCATAGAGATTGCCCGGGGCATTACAGAGGCCTCTATCACAGCAAATCAATGAAGTATTGCCTTAGTACTGTTTTTAAATTTAACTGTCAGTGTTCAAAGCATAAGCAGGCTCAGTCATTTTTTGTACTTGAAAAAATTTGCACTAAATTTTTGCAATGTACAGTAAAAACAAGACAACTTAAAGTGTTAATCTTGCAAAAGCATCCATAGATAGCCTTATAATAAAATGTGTAAGTAATGCCACTGTACTCAGTACAGATACCTACAGATACCTACAGAAGAGCTAAATTATTGACATGATCAAGTTTTTGCAGGACTATGGTTTTAAGCTTTACAGAAATACATACTTCAAAATATTTACTTGGAAACTGTTCACACTTTTGAAATAGTATTGGAGTATTTTTGTATAGGTAAAAATATTTTCAGGAATTAACATGAAGAGTCTTTTCTGAAAAATAAACAAACTGCACTGAAAAAATAATCAGAAGGATACTGACAAAATTCAGGTTTAAGAACCTAGATGAGGTATTTAAGTTAGGAACCCAGACTGTCTTTGCAAGCATGAGTCTCAGGAAGTAAATTCAAAACTTCTCAGCCATTAATTTCTCTCAAAGTCTCTTTATGTAAGACAGTTCAGGCTCCTCCATGGGCATTTCAGACCCTCAGCCTCTCTGTCTTGAGACTTATAGTCACATAGATCAATTAAATCATCTCAGTCAAAACAAAAACAGGACAGGCTGAAACTATAACTAGACTTCCAAGTACCTAGAGGTAGATAATGTTTCCCAGTTTCCCAAGATTTTTACAATTTTTATAGAAATGTATAAAAAAAACCCCAAAAAACCAACCTCTTCCTTTCACCAATCCAGAAAATAATAATTTTCCATGAAGAATTACATATTTTACCTGTACTAATTATTGAGAACACTTAACTTCAAGTTGCCAGCTGAATTTAAAAAGGAATAAAAGTAGGTTGCCTTTTAAATAGCAGGTAGAGCAGATAAGCATCCAAGAAATATCCAAGAGACACACAAAAATGTCGGGAGGGGAAAAAAAAAAATTAAGCGATGTGATTTTCCCAAGGGAATGGTCTCACTACAGCACAATTTTTGCTACTATTCACAAGATTTCAAGAAAACCAAGTTCATCAGACCAATCATAATGATGGCCTACACTATGTAAGGCATACTGTAATAGCTAATGTAGAAAAATACTACAGAAGTTACCATGTGACTAAATAAATCTTCTACACAGAAAATACAGAAAAATGATAATATTCTATAGATTTAAAAATTATTTGGAAGATTACTACAAACCTCTGTGCCACTCAGGAAACTTTGAACAGGATGAAGTAGGGCATCTATCACTGCATCCGTATATAAACATTCAGCAGCACATCCTGTTTGATCACAAAAAACTTGCAGAATCTCCATAACAAGACTTGCTGGAGAATAATTATCTGGTGAACACAAGAAGTATTTGTTTATATTTTAACTTACACAAACATATCTATATAGCTTATGTAGATGTTTCTGAATTATAATTTTGTTAAGCACTGATTTAACACAGTTAGAGGGAAGAAGGAAAGGTAAGGGAGGAAGGGAAGAGAAAAATCTGCACAAATAACAGACCCACATTAAAACTGCAAAAGAAGTTACCGCATGCCTCATTATAATTATATATATTAGCATATAATAAAAACAGACATTTACCTGTATGCACTGCCAAAGCTGTCTTTGGGTAACTTGGAGAGTAATAAATAAGCTGAGTAAATAATACCAAGAGCTCGGTTATGGATACACTATCTAAAAAAAAAAAAAAAAAGAAAAAAAAAAGAGGAAAGTACTCTGCAAATAAAAGTGTAAATTTAATTTTACAAATAAAATGGATTTTGTAAATATATGTGAACAAAATTTTGCTTTATTAAGGAAATCAACATATGTACAACCGATAAAGCAAAGGACATGCATGTCCCTGGGACTCTACCAAGGTAGTTCATGATCAACTTATAAGGCTTGAGCTTGCTCCCAATTTAGCCAATTGCAATTTTACCATGTCTTCCACTGAAACAAATGGCAGCCAAAGTTTGAGAATACTGAATATACACAGCTATAGGAAAAAGCATTACCTTGCTATTCAATTAAGTGAAACAACTGGAAAAAGAGACAAGCTGTCAGACAATTCTTCCTCAGGTCTGAAGCAAAAACAACAAACAAGTAGCTAAATGCAGGTTGGGAACTATTGCTCCAAGTTTAATGTAATTATGTTAATAAATCAGACAATTTGTGAGGAAAGGGTTGTTATCTATGAAGCTGAGAAGGACGCTATTAAGAAGACAGATAGTGAAATTGTTACTTTTGTAGGGGAGAGAAAAAAGCAACCATCACCAATGGATCACTGCTTGAATGGTGTTATACAGATAATCCGTAAATGACAAAAGCACTCGATTAGTAGATGTTTCTTCCTCACAACTGCTCTACATCGGATCTATTAAGTCCTGATCCTCAAACCAGAGGGACAAAATAACTTCAAAATACAAGTCTCGGAATTAGTATCTAGTAATGTTTTGAATTCTACACTGAATTAATAAAGATATTAATGTAATGGAACACTACAATTGTTCTCACACACTTGCATTTGCCAACCCTGCACAATGTATCACCATACGCAGATTCCTCTGGATGTCCAAGGGCTTTTCCATTTCCTATCTTCTGTCCTTATTAACACCTCTGTTCCACAGGTACCGACCTTTTCCTCTACCATTGTTTTATCTTCTATTAATAGGTTAAGCTCAGAGCAATTGTTTTCAATTTGCAATTAGCTTGAAATACTGATTTTGTTTCACACCTGAAAAACACTTTTGGTCCCTGGACATTTCTCCCTTTCAACCAATTGTATCAATTGGTTTGACAAAAGATACTACTCATACATAGAAAGACTGAATCACTTACACACTAATCCAACTCTCCTTCAACATGAAATCAATATATTAAAAGGATAAAAGCAATCTATTCAACCACATCCATCAAAGATTAAAAAACTGTGTTGATGCTCAAAATTACCTCTACCATCTTTTAAGACAGGCTTCCAAGCACAGAATTGCTGAACAGAGTGTTGTCCTATAACGTCCACAATATTGCAGTGGAAACATATATCAAGTATGGATAGAGTGTTGCTCAACAGGTTCCATTTTCCTCAGCCTTCGCCTTACCTTTTTTATTTTTCAGCTGCACTGGAAAGAGATTTCGGCCTTGCTTATAGATCAACAATCTTCCTAAAAGGCACAGTGAATGAACAAAATAGACGTACTGCAATTCTCGTCCAGTGTAAGACAAGTTCTGCTTATCACCTTTAACAATAAAACCAAAAAATTAGAACTTGACTCTATTTTAGTTTACAGTACCTAGCTACTACCTGCAACGTACGTGGATCATTTTGTATATAAAGACAGACAGCTTAAGTAACTAACCACTGCTATTAGTGTTCTCTCAAAAGATAGCCATACAATATTTTGGGAAGAAAAAGAACAGATAGAATGTCTTCCTCTTTAGGTAGCATGCTCAAAGACCTAGAGAATGTGGATGTATGTGGATATAATGCAAGACATGCAAAGATACTCACTACAATGCTGCTGGGAGAAGTCATTGGCTCTGGAATTTTTATTAACTGCTGCCTTGCAAAATTCAAAGTAATCAAGACATTGCTGGACAGCTGCATTAACCTGTGGAAAAAAGCAGAAAATAATAAAATACCTGGTATTTTACAATAAAGTCATTCTCTCTTATATCAAAGTACTGTCCTTTAACACAAGAACCTAAATATCCACTTCACTGCAATTACCTCATGTTTCAGTGCTTTGGATGGGCTAACCAACAGGAGGCAAAATTTTACAGGGCTATTAATACACATTGCCATTACTATTACATAATCACACTACCAGCTCTATAAGCATTAAGACAATCTATGAAGAAGAGTACAGAGAACATGCAAGTTGAGAAGTTAATGGCAATCGGTGATTGCCGTATTGTCATTACTATGGAAGATTTTCATTTTCCACACGTGCAAAACTGTCTTGAATACACTTACTATACTGTAAGTTTGGTTGTTGGGTGCTGTCAGTGCTATTACTGTTCTTTGCAGAAGTGTTGTATCATTATCATAGCATTATCATCTAATCAATGTATATAAAAGTTTAAAAATTATCAGCATGGATTTAGAAATGAATCACAAATATAGCATATCAACAAAGATGTACACTAAGATTTATTACAATTTGCAGCTGCTAAGAGTTATTCACAAGTGTAAGTAAAACATACAGACATACATAATAAAAAAATACTTAATCAGATGTTTACTCTATGCTTATAAATTAGATTAGACTACCCTGCTCATGGACTTCCTATTATGAACTTTTTGTTGCACGGAACATGCTTTATTCTATGCTCTGTTCTATGCATACACAAAAACAAGACAAACTTCTTTTATAGTTGTCTGGATCCTTGTCGCCCATCTTAAGGTTTTATCAGTCACATATATTTTACATTACATTTCACTTGTATTACAAGATTTTACAAAACATAGCCAAAGTCCTGTCTATATCAATGGATCTCACATCTACATTGGTCTTACTGAAAACAATGCAACTTCCATCTCAGTGAAGAGATCTGCCCATACAGAGTATGTGATAGGATTAACACCTACATTATTAAAGATGTTTTCCCAGTTTGATTTATTTTGCTGACACTTTGAATCCTTAATGCTTCATATCACAAAAGAACACAATGGTGGTTTTTTAGTCTCTTTCCATCAAAAATCCAAATTCAGCACAGAGTTTTTATGATATTTTTTCATGCACCATTTGCTATTTTTATACATTGTCAAAAATAATTCTAAATACGAATGCAACATAAGGAATTAATAATCCTAATTAAACACCTGCTATAAAACATCCAAATTTCCCCTTACTCAGAGCCGGTCACATACCCTTCCTTGCATTTAACAATGATTCATTTAAGCAAAGAGAAATTTAAAAAAAACATTAAAATCAAAAAGGCTTATCTAGCTAAACAACATGGAACAGCTCTGACAAAAGGGAAAAAAGGAAAAAAAAATGCTCAAACCACAATGTGCAAAGCAAGAACAAGTTCCAAGTAATTTGCCTTGGGAAATACTTACCAAAGATTTATATTTCTTTTCCAAAAGCCTAAGTAGCACTGTTCTGCTGTAATACGCATGCTAAAATGACAAAGAAGACCTAATGTCAACTTCAAACATGTAAGTTTTATTTTTTAATTAAAAAGTAGAAATTATCCCCGATTCTGTTTTATTAGGGATCCTGTGCACAGTACATATTCAATGCATTGAACTCCAGCTTGTGTAAACCAGCATTATACTAAACTGAGCCTTTTGTTTGTAGTACATTTAAGATGACAAAAAAAATTATGTCATTAGAAAAATGTGTAGCAGAACATGCAATAAACAGAAAAACAATAACTACGCTGAAATGTTAGACTACGTGTTTTGACATTGCCATGTAAATCCTAAATTATAAGTTTATACATGGTAGGCTGCAAAAAGCTGTAATGTCCACTGGAGATTAGCAAGTTGTGTGCAGCATATCATATACATAACTGTACTTTCATGCTCATCACTTCTTCCAGAAAAATATTTGCATCTTTGATGGCTGTCAGTCAATTATGACAAAGGGACTAAAGTCCCAAAGCACCATTCTCAGAAATTTTATGAAAACCAGTAACTGAACAGAAATGGAGGGAGAGAGTAGTGTTAAAGGGCAAAGGACATAAATGCCTAAAAACACACCCCCGACTTCCTTAATTACAGTACTCATTATAGGTTGTTATCAGGTCACAATAGGTCTGTGATAAAAATAGTCATAATCAAACTTTTCAAAATACATGTCAGACATGAACAAGTTACGGGTTGTTGGGTTGGGTTTTTTTTGCTTACCGTCCACTTTTTAAACCATACTGCTTTGATATCTAGCAGAGCTAAGAAGTAGACTGGACTCAAAAAATCTGGAGAGGCAGGATGATTAGGCTCGTGTTTTACTGACAAAAGTGACAAGGTACTCTCCACTACTTCTTCCATGTACCTTATGACACAAATAGGAAAAAATGAACATAAAACAAAAATCACTTAAATCTTTCCACCAGTAATACTCAGGAACAAATTTCTGGTAAAACCTCATTGTTCAGATAAATCATAAATATCAACAACATTATCTTTAACTTGATCTCGTAAGGATATTAACTCTTTGTATTACGATGAATAAAACTAGTAACAACATACATGTGTATTCTCCTACATGATTACATATTTTATTACACTTGTTACTTTGTAAAACACCCAAATTATTTTTGTTAAAAAGCACTTAGAACACTTCAAAAGCTAAGTAAGCAGCTTAATATGACCCATGACTACTCCTATGCAACTTCCCTATTTCACTTTTCCCACCCTCTGTTTATATTCCCTCCTTTATCACTGACCAGTCATCTGTACATCCTGTAATCAACCTTTTGCTAAAATTATATGCATCTAATGATATGTCAAAAATCATTAAATTAAGAAACAGTGACGGGTTTTTGAAGGTGACATACTTTTCTGGATGACGAATCCAGGAAGAGGGAGCTTCCTTTTGGTACTCATTTAAAAGGCGGACCTGAAAACATAATTATTAAAATTAAAAAATAAATAATGCATGATGTTTCAGTAATGACAAAAAAGGTACGGAAAATTAATTTAAACCTTTTTAAGTAAACAATTTATGTCTGTGTTAGATACATCCAGACCAGCTGAAATACGAAGAGAGTATTCTCCAGAAAGAAAGTACAACTCCAAGTGCCTTGCTAAAGAAGGGAAAAAAAAAAAAAGCCTCACCTCCATGACAATAGTGGCAAAACAGACTGTATTATACAGCTTCATTATAAAAGTTAACTGATTTTCAGGAAGTACATGACTCATGAAGTCTTAAATGTCGTTAAATGCACATACCTAAACTTGTATAGACTTCTCTTGTCATATTAAATGGAGAAGAAGAAAAGGTTTTTGCATAGAACCTAAGAATTTTCTCCTAAGGGAGAAAAAGCAAGCAATGTATTAGAGTCATGTAACTATGTATTATTATTGCACAATAATCAATATGTAGTGGCATTACTCTTAATATTACATATTGCTCAGATATCTTACAGATATGAAGCATATTTTACAAAAATATACAGTTTGGGACCACAGAAACCTACAGTTCGAAGGAAATTTTATTCAGATACTTTAACTGACAGCACCAATGCAAAGCCTCACTGAGATACAAAGAAGCAGACCAGGGAATATTACTGTACTTTTCCATTAACATTAATGTTTTTATGTCATTAAAGGTACCAATGACTTATAACTAGCAGTGTTTCAAAAGAAATCATAGACCTTCTAAGCTGAAAGAGAAATACATGACAGCAGCTGGGGCAACTTTAATTGGCATAATAAATAATCTAAAAGCAGTTTAAGCAGCTGCCTTTTTTTTTTTCCTCATCAGTGCCTGTGTAATATTACTATGTATCATTTTCTTATCATCATGGAGCATATACCTGACTTAAATAGGAAATATTAACATAACAAGTTTTACGGAAGAGTTTTGTCAATTTTTTTTACGTCTGTTTGCTAAAAGACATTCAAACCTCTTCATTGCCATTAAAAGATATGTAAACGAGTACTCCAGTCTAAAAATCCTATTGAAATCCTGTTGTAATCCTTTAAATCAAGACCTATTGGAATCATATAGTTCTTCTACTTCAAAAAGAGTTTATCTGATACATACACAAATAATAAAATGTCTTAGGACCCTGCTGGACTATTCATAATACATATGTAACTTCTTATTCCTCTGCAGTACTCTCTACTAAGGGTACACATCTGATAATTAAATGCAGAACATTAGCTTACACTGAATGTTGCATCAGGATCTGACAGAGACATTGTTAGATGCTTACGCAGATTTGGCCAACTCTCAGAGTTCAGTATATCAGAGGGAGGGGCAAAGCACAGTGTCTGCAATGCTTCTTGGCGAACCTGAAGTGGTCAAAAAGATAAACACCACAAATCCATTCACAACAACCTCTCAAATATGTAATTTACAATATAATTTGAAGGAAGGAACAGGACCTGGCTGTAGAATGGATAAGGAATTCCAGAATACTTATCTTCTGCTACTGGTGATTTAGACAAAATACTACATCACTGAGAAAAAAAACCCCAAACATATATTTGAAGCAGCAACAAAACCATTTTATATAGGTTTTTAATACTGGATGCAAGGATTATGTTCTACTTTCTGCTTGTAATCAAATATTTTTTTATCAGGGAATATAGGAAATTATCACCAAATACTACAAATGTGCCTAGCAGCTCTCTAAAAAGTCAGTAAGGGAAAGTGGAGAGAGAGTTACTAGACACTGTTTTACTGCTGAATTTTCATCGGCATTATAATCTAAATAATTTCAAATAACTTTTTTTGGTTCTATTTGTAGACAATCTCTAGTAATTTATTTCATATTACTGAAACAAACTGATACAATATTTAATAGCATCAGACTTTTTACCTGGTTTTCTAAGAAAACTCAATCACAATGTTTATACCAGTTCCCATCTACCATGCTTTTTTTAACTACCAGACAATCCTAAACAAATCTTACTGAGACAGCACTCTCAAAATGATGTTTCTCCAAGCTTCAAAAATACCAGCAGCTGGTGCTGATTGGTGGTTAGAGACCCAAATTAGTACTGTCACTGACAGGAAGGTAAACCTAACTTGGACTTTATATATTCCATCTGGCAGTAGCTTGTTGGCAAATCAGCAGGCATCTCTCCCTTCTGATACGGGTAACACAAAGGACAACACGGAAGTTACCAAGAAGGGCAAGGGGCACGTATACAGAAATATAAGATTCAGTAATTTTATTTCTCACAGAACAACTTTTTCCAAACTAAAAATGCCCATCTATAGCAATAAACTCCTAACAAAAAAAATAAGATACTTGCTGCAACACTAGCTTTTGAACCAGATGGTTATGAACAATGAAATACTGCACTGCAGAGCAGTTGCTGCACTGAAGCCAAGATATATGAACCAACAAAGACAAGATTCCACTTACGTACATATGAACTCTTACGTACATACAGTCTGTTTTCCAATATGCCATAAACATTCACTTGTATTAACATTTTATTGCTCCTTTGAAACTTACTTCCTTAGGCTGAATAGGGTCAAGCCTTTCTACAAGCAGCTGCAACTGTTCTTGACTCATGAACGTATAACTCTGTAATACACATTATAAAATTACCATTAGAATATATTATTAAACTGAACAGCAGAAGATTAAAATCATCAGTCTTTCTGATATCTAACTTACTTTTAATAATTAGGACTTCAGCATTTATACTAATGCCCTGCTTTCGGCTGGGATAGAGTTAATTTTCTTCCTAGTAGCTGGTACAGTGCTGGGTTTTGGATTTGGCAAGAATAATGTGTGATAATACACTGATGTTTTAGTTGTTGCTACGCAGCATTTATACTAAGTCAAGGACTTTTCAGCTTCCCATACTCTGCCAGCAAGGAGGTGCACAAGAAGCCACAAGAAGCTGGGAGGGAGCACAGCCAGGACAGCTGACCCAAACTGGCCAAAGGGATATTCCATACCATATGACGTCATGCTCAGTATATAAGCTGGGGGGAGTTGGCTGGGGGACAGTGATCGTTGCTTAGGGACTGGGCATCGGTCGGCAGGCAGTGAGCAGTTGCATCACCTCTTGTATTTTGTGGTTTGGTTTTTTTTTCCCTTCCTGGGTTTTGTTCCTCTCTCTCTTGTTGTTTTACTTTCCATTACAATTTATTACTGTTATTACTATTATTATTATTTCAATTATTTAACTGTTCTTATCTCAATCCAGAAGTTTTCTTATTTTTGCTCTTCCACTTCTCTCCCCCATCCCACCAGGGGGCGGGGCAGGGGGGGAATGAGCGAGCGGCTGTGTGGTGCTTAGTTCCCGACTGGGGTTAAACCACGACAACTAATTTAACATTAAAGTCAACATTCTAAATGTTTTCTGCCATTTGCCCAAAGTTAAGTTTACGGCAACAAAATTCTCGTTACATATTTTGCTTTGCTTTACTTAAAAGTTTCCTGTATCTTCATAAAACCCCTTATAATAATTCATTCAGTAAGTAATATAGCATAATGCAGTAGTCTGCAAATGAACTGCACATTACTTGGCTCCTAAAGTAAAATCACAGTAAGTTAGATGATGTATTGCTCTTACCATTATTTTTTCTATGCAGTACTTGCATACGTATTTTAGAGCATATGGGCATCATATCCATCTCATCCAGCATAAGCTGTCTAAAGGTTAGACAGCTAGTATAAGCTTAGTACTTGAGAGTGAAAGAAGGGCAATTAATTTGTTTAAGGATATATCAAAGATAGGAAGAATGAATCTTTTTCTAGGGCTGCTTCTCAACCTCCACTGACAGAAACTTAACAATTTTGCAGTATCATGCTTATTTCATGAACATAGAGAGAAAACACATTGTACTTGGTTGAACGAGGAGTCACTGTCAGAACAGTTGTCTGTATAATAGCCACTCCTACGTTCTTTCTTTGTTTTACTATCCAGCTCCTTATTACGTATCCGATCTTCTTCAAACTTGTTAATCAAAGATTCTACCACAACCATCATGACATTCTTCAAGGCATGCATCATTTCCCTGTATCTTCAAAGTAAAGATGATTTTAATATTAAAGAGCATAAAAATCACTAATTAAAAAAAAATCACTACATCTTCAATAACTGAATATGGCATAATGCTACTTAGACCCGAACTCACTGAATTTACAGAAATGAATGAAAAACAAATGCAAATCCACAATGAGTAAACCATGTATGTACCTTAAATGTTGCAGGTAACATTATTTTAAAATTATAATAGAATTCCTTTTTGCCCGTCTAAAACCATTCAATGAAATACCACTAACATAATCCTGTTCTGGAAGGTTCTTAAGAAAGAACAATGTGAATCCACCAGAAGGGAGAATCTGTCTCTGAGAAAACAGGCCAGTTCTCATCCTTGTTACTGTTTATGTTTCTTCAAGTTCGACATCCAGTTTTTCTTCTGCTATAAGCCTCAAGCAGAACCAACAGAAGAGAACACATCATCCTGATTCAAGATCTTGAGTACAGGTCGTACACACAAAATAATTTTCTTTCAACAAAACCAGGGTTTTTCTAAGTTACATAAATTGAATAATAATATCCACAAGCAAGCAATTCAAAATAAAAGCTGCTTCAGAAAAACATCCTATTGTAAAATGTTGATATTTTATTTCAAATTATTTTTTACTTTAAGGCTAATATTACTTATTTTACAGTCACCAAAGATATAAATTACCATTGTGCTTTAATATCCTCCTACCTCTCAAATTAAAAATATAAGATACAGACATATTTAGTTCACTGGAGCTTCTTCTACAAACTTTAATGAGCACACGAAGCCTAAGGTCCTGATCCTCGAAACAAAAAGACACAAACAGCATAATGTGAAAAACAGTCATCCTAACATCTATTTTCTAGGTGAAAATAAAAGCCAAGCGTAGTTGATCAAGAACTGCCTTCTAACATAAATGACTGTACTATGAAAAAACAGAATGTATCACTAAGGAGTTAAATTCCTTAACACTTTTTTCTCCATAAATACCTTTAAGCATACTACCTACCACAGAAAATGAGTAATTGCAATGAACAAAACTGGGACTTTGAATGATCCTGAAATTATATCAAGACCATCACAGTGACACCCAATAATGCTTGATCAGAGTTCAGAATGCATGCAGACAGGTGACACGAAAAGGACCCTATAAAAGCATGGTTCATAAAACATATTTCTGTGTACTTCTAGATGAGAAACCTTCTGATAACAAACAGAAAATAAAATCTTCTAGAACAGAAACATACACTATTTTTTAATTCCTTTCTTATTGAGAACACATAGTAAACAATAGGCATCACAGTAAAATCCTAGTTCCACTAAAAAGAGAGATGGAGGTAAGTTAAGATTGTCCAATAAAAATGAGTGAAAAAAATAGTTCAGCTGAAGTAGTGTGTAAAAACATTTCAGTGGCTAAAATGAGTCAAAAATTGTCTTTTTTTGTTTGCTTCCTCTGCAACACATAAAAATGACCACTGATGCTAAAATAGTGGGTGGGTGATTGGTTGTTTTTCATTTTTCAGCATTCACCATTTCAGGTGCTCACTTTAATTTCATTTTTTTCACATTGTAATGGTTCAACCTCAGTAAATCCCTCATCATGGCTCTCCATGACAATTAAAAATAGAGAGGCAAGGACCTGATTCACTATGATGACAAAAGTATACTGTTTGTTTTAATTAAAGAAACAAAACTTTTAGAACTGCTTTAAGCATTATGATGCAGTTAGATTTTGTACAGGAATTCCAAAAATGATGTGATGCATACACTAAACTTTTGAAGTTTTACATATTTTCTGGAAGTAACAGCTGTATATACTAAAATCCATTTTATAGGTACTACTGACCACTGCTTTAAAGAATCATGGCAATTATCTGCCTATGCAAATCCTTCGAAATCCAAAGCATGAAAATTCAGCAAGACAGTTACCAGCCTCTGTATTCCAAAGAAAAGTTATTTTAATGTCCATAGGAAGGTGAACAAAGTTAGTAGGGAAGAGATGAAAAAGAAAAGAATTTAACTGGTACTCACAGAGGTTTTTCTATTTAAGGCTTCTTTACTAAATACGATGGTCAAAGCCAATTAATCTGGACAACAGATCCTGTAATATGCCGATACACGGTTTTGCACACCTACTGATTTCTGGCCAGCTGACAGTCTGAGTCAAAGAATCTTGGATAGCTATACTCAGTTGGTCCACATACCAATTCTACATTACATGGACTGCACTGCAGGAGTATCTTTGCATGTACACTAAAATAGAAAGCAAGATAGCTTAAACTTCAATTTTTAAACTAGTCAACAAAAGCAGATCTGACTAAACATACTACTCTCATGGGACACCTGGCTAGATCCCAAGGAAGCAATCTTAAAAAAAATACACACGTATTCTAATTTATGTTACTTTTTTTAGAAAACAACATTGTCATGCAGATTCTCTATTTATATCTAAGGAAATTATCAAACTTTAATACCTGATAAAACAAATTTTTCCTTTAGGCCAACTTCCATATCACAACTGAATTTAATTTGTATATGAAGTAGTGATTCCTCTCTCAAATCTTACCCCTGCCCAACTCCAGTCCTAGATACCTCAAAAACTTCATAGATGTGCTACCGATCTTTTTGTGCAGTAGTTCATAATCTTAATTCCAGAGTGAGACGAAGCATGACAAATTGCAATGTAAGGTGGGAACATCTAATTGCTTAGCACTAATTTTTGAAAGGCAAGGAATCACTTTTGTTACCCATTGGTTCAGAATTTATTTTTTCAAAATTAGTTCTGGGAAAAAGAAAGGAAGACAAAGACAAGAAGAAACAAAAATGTGAATTACATGTATATACTCACTCTTTTGATTCACGGGTCTTCTTAGTAACATGTTGGACAAGCGTGTCATAGCCAGATACTTCACCCTGATTTTGAGCAGAAGTACATTTTTCTGTTTCTTCTTCAATCACAGATCCCACAGTATTATTTATATATTGTCGAAGGTATTTCACAAACTCATAGCTGCAACAAATATACAAAATTAAAATGTAACAGATTTACTTGAGCTCACCGTCAAACATTTTCAACATTATATTAACATTCGCTATCTTCTCTCCCAGCAAACCTGTTACTTCAAGGTAAGGGTTTATGACTTGCAGAGAAATAACTTCAGTGGTATAAAAAAACACAGTAAGTTTGACTTTCTTCAATATGGTCATTATCAGCATATTCCAGGAAGAAACAATACCAAATAGTTTCTAATTTCCTTTTGTGCTTCTTCTAAATGTAAAAATCTACTCGGACAACAGATTAAGGTTTTGTAGACAAAAATCATAGAATATCAAGAAATCTCAAATTTAAAATTCCAAAAGAAACATTACTTGGAGCATCCTGAACATAGCACTGTCTTATAGTATATCCATCTGGTATTATTATTTATGCAGTATACATACAAAATGAGAAGAAACACAGAAAACACAATTTATAAATTCTAGCATATGAGCATGTCTAAGGCTTACAAAAGTCTGTGTGTCATGACAGTATGCAGAAGATCTCACTCAAACTGACAAACTAGTTGTCTGTGATTGTACATGTTAAACATAAGGAAATTGGCACTTTGCGCTCTTATTATTAGATACTCACAGAAACTTGTTTAAACAAAAGAACAATCAGAGGGGGATTTCAAACAAAATACTCTCGCTGGGTCCTCAGACTCTCTATTAGCTATAGAAATTGCTAAAAAGTAGTGCTCAGAATATATAAACATTTTTTTTTGTTAGTCTTCTGATTTGTATAAAGGACAAGGCAAACAAACACACAAAAAAGTAATCATACATAAACAGTAGATGCATCATTGTATTTTCTGTATATCGAATGCAGATGTGCAACTACTTTGTGTTAATTTGGATAAATACAGAGTGAGAAAAATTCAAATAAAAAAGTCAGTTCACCATGTAGGTACAGACTCCACACCTATAAAATGCAAATGTAATTAAAAGCAACTGTTACAACAGGCAGCAGGTTTTGCCTTTCTTGGATATTAAAAAAAAATAAAAAATAAAAAAATCAGACTACATTCAAGATACATTAAAAGAAATACACACAGAAAATTGTGTCTTGTATCATGATACATACTTCCTCACTACACTGCCTACCTCAAGTTCCATCAGGTATAACAGTCCTTTGTTTTTTTCATTTCCCACTTATTTCCATTCCTACATCACTTTTGTTCAATGAAAGTAACAGAAATACATCTCAAGAAAGATGCAAACATGTTTATTTGCATTTTCATTTGTCTTCAAGGCTGGCTTTTCACTTCCGCAATAATGAAACTGCACACCACTCTCCACTGAATGAAAGCTTTCATAAAACTTTCTCCCATTTGTTTTATGACAGTAACATTTCCAGGGTATACCTTTTTGCAGTCACTGCTTTGCTCTGACATACACAGCAATCACATCATTATTCATGCCACTAAGTTTATGTCTGCTTGATGTCCTAGCCTTGATCTTCTGTTTCATTCTTCCACCTCAAAAACGTTTTGTAACAAGTAAGTGTTTCAGCAATGATAGAACTACTTCTTCACATGCAGAATCAAGTCAGACTGATCTGGTTGGGCTTACAAAGGAAGCACCAGGGAAAAAAAAGTGTTAAAAAAACCTCTAGGACTTTAATTTAAGGAAAAAATACAACAGAAAACTTGCTACTTATATAGTTAACAATCCCGATTTCTACTACTGCACATAAATTTTGAACTTGATTCAATTTTCCTTTTTATTAGCTTTCTGAGGATCCTGTGTTTCTGTCTTTTCTGCATCAAAGTGGGAACAAAGGATAAAGCAAGGCCTCAAAATCTGATAAAATTACTGAGGCAAAATAACCATGAGGCAGAAACAGTGCTGATCAAAATGCTGAGCTGAACTAGCATATTGGACAATCCAAAAGCACACGCTACTAATAAAGGAGCTTGCAGTCTGGATGGATGAGGTAAGGGTCAAGGAGAAAGCTTCTTAATGGTCTCACTAATAAATCTCACTAATGACCTCTCTGACCTTCCATGAAAACCAACCTATACTGCTGTGGGTCATGAACAAGACTAGAATACCTCCAGAAATATTCCAGTGCCAGAGAGTAATGCTCACATTCTGTCTTTAAAGCATCACTTGATTTTCCATTAAATAATAAGTTAAAACTTTTCTCATTAAAAGAAAGTATCTTTAGGATCACCCATTTTTTAACATACCAGAAAGAGTAATGGATGCCATGGTTTCACTGTTCTAAAGGGGAAAGCTACATATGCATTGTTTCCGCCAGCTGTAGACTTTACTCCCTCATCCTGGGTATTCTCCTAATAAGTACTCAGAAGAAATATTGACAGAAGTAATTTCATAGGTTTTTGAGTGTTTGGGGGTTTTTTACTGTATATATCTTCCTTTAAATAAAAATGTTTTTCTTTCAAAATTACATGTCATTTTCAACTTTGATATGTTTATAACCAATTTTTACTCTTTTCAACTTTGATATGTTTATAACCAACTTTTTTACTCTCATGCTTGTCACCCAGTAACCTGGTGCTCAAAATTCACAAGACTGCCAACAAAAGTGTTATCTGATACAATTTGTAATACAAATTAAAATTGAGCTAAAATACATTCTAAAGCATTTAGCATCTTCAGAAGATACAAAAGCATTGAAGTTTTAAAATTACAGTGAAATTTTAGATAAACCCTAGTTCTATTTCACTTATTTACTTTCACCTAACTTCTATCGACAAAGCAATGCTAAAAACTAGACAAATTTAACAGAACGTAGATTGTGCCACTTCTGAAAAAACTGGCAGGGAACCAGCTTTCTCAGAAGAAGTCAGGTCACAGAACTCTGGCCCTTATTAAAATGTCTTCAAGGTGACTTCAGCTTGATATTCTCTTGACTTTCATAAATACGTTCTAAAAATCTCCCATGTAGTAAAAAAATAAACGTTAGAATACCATGGAAAGAGGACCATGGGCTCCAGAAATCTAGATCGCATGTAAGTGAGGTCACACTGTCAAGTCTTATTTAACAGAGGTGTGATGGGGATACATTTCTGCTTTATTCAAAACATAAATTAAAAGAATGACTACCTGATAAGATATACAAGGGTTCAGTAATATAAGCCAGACAGAACAATCAAATATGGAAGCCAAGTAGCCTTCTGAAAATTTACTTTATTTTGAAAAACAAAATTATATTGGCTAGCAAGTGTCAAAAATACTGCCTGACAGCCTTCAGTGAGGATTTCTTCTAGCTTCTGTTCGTGTGTGCATTTATTACAGTACACGTACACATGCATCAGAGTTGGCTAAGTTAGGTAGCTTTGTCAGCTCCTCTCTCACAAACAGCTCACCAATTACTATTACAGTAAAAATTTATTATCAAGAATGAAAAGCAAAAAGAAAAAAAACAAAACAGAAAAATGGCAAAATTAATTTTATTCTCTAAATTAGCATCTTTTGAGAGTTGATTAGTGACAGGATATCTATATATATAAATACATACACATTCACACAGCAGTATAAATTGTAAACATTTCCCAGGAATAATATAGTCCAACACATTTCACCTCCTTCAAAATATTAAAAAGAGAAAAAATATTTTTACTTGTGAAAATTCTCATCTGTTTCCTCCAAATGCAAGAGAATCTCTTCTGCACATTCTACAGATGGGGCTCCAGTGATTTTTTCCTTCACACTCTGCAGCAACTGTCTAAGCATAGACTGTAACAGAGCTTCATCTTCACTTGTAAAGTGAGACATCTGTATAAAGCAAATATAAGAATAACAAGCTCTCATAGTTTGAGGTTTTTTCCTTCCCTCAAGATGCTAAGAAAAGCATAAATCCCTTAAATTGCCACTTTTTTCCTGTTATCAACAACATAAGACTTTCTATCAAAAGACATGATCACAGACAGGAAATATTTGATAGAGCTTATCTTCAGACAAATTGGAAACAAAATAATCAAATCAGTTTTAATAAACCTCCTGTTATCTTAGTACAACATTCTTAAGTGAGATATTGCATTAAGAAAAGCCTGAATATTCCTGTTTGTAGTTGCTTGAGGATTGCCCATGAAATAGGCACAAGACTACACCGTAATTTAGAAAAAAGGGGGGGTTTTACAGATGTAATGACTATCTTGAAAAGAAACCTCTACAAGTCTCTCAGCTGCTTCTCATCCACTATTACTACCCAGTTCTGATTTTTGGATCCCTCTACTCAGAGCTGTTGCCATGCCCATGATCGAAGGTGCTGTCAGCTTTTGCAAGGGCCAGGTGGAATTATCAGAACCGTTTAATTTCCCTGCGGTAATCAACTGCAGTGACCTGACAGTCCTGTCATTTTAACCCTACAGCTACTGAGAAAAGCTGGGAGGAGGAGCAGCAGCAGTGAGAAACTGGACTGTCAAGTCCAGAAGACAGCGTCTTATCACTTTAATTTTCAAGGGTTGCAAAAAAACCCAAAAGCTTCATTTCTATCTTGATTAATTAATTAACCTAAATTCACAGCTTAAACTTCTTTATATGCCAAGGAATACTGCCAACCCCCAGTGGCAGTTCTAGCTTATGTATTTCTAGTCTATTTGACAAAGAATGACTTAGAGACCTTTGACTTATTTTTATTAAAAAAAAAGTCAATCACAGACTCTTTAAGCACCTGTGAATAAACAATATACACACTTGGAAGAGAGAATATAATAAATCATTTCTTCAGACTTAAACACTATTAACTAACAGAAAAATCAAAGCCATATAGCACCAGCTGGAGGAATTACCCTTTATGAAAGGTAACAGTTCCTTGAGTTAGCAGCTCTCTGTGGTAAGTAGCACAGTTGCTAAATATTTTACTTTGATCAAACATAATTCAACATTAACTCAATCACCTTACCAGACATAGCATTAAAATAAAATTAAAAACACAGAAAAACCAAAAAAACCACAAATCCCTTGTAATAATCTTAACTCCCTGATTTGCAGTCCTCTTTCTTATAAATTAAAGTCTCAAGATATTTAATTAAAATCAATGTATTTTTAGGTCTATATAAACCACTCTCCTAAGTCTGATATTTTGACCTTAACATTGGATAATATCCCAATCCCCTGAAAAAAACTTCACTTAGTATTTTGCTGTAACTAGGCATTTTTAAAAGTGCACGTATCTGGATACTGGTTGGCAATCAGTGCAAAGCCCCACTCAAATTATTCCTAAAGACTAATCATGAGAATATTGTAGTTTCACCTCCAGTTTGCTTTGAAAAGTCTTATTTGACTTATGTAATCACAAACAGACATACTTATCTTAAAATTAATTTGTAAAGGTTTGTGGTTTGTTGTGCTTGGTTTTTTGGGGGTTTGGGTTTTTTTTTCCCAGCAGGCATATCCCCCAGTTTCCGGGCAAAATTTAAATGATGGTTTTCTCCCTAAAAAACCTTACCCCAAGCCCAGTTTGTGCAGTCTTTTCAAGTTCAAATTCATTTTCCCGGCACTGTCCCACAGCTACAAAACCTGCCCCAAAACCCACGGGATTCAGAAGCGGCCTGCTGTAGCCAGCATTTATCCTTACACAAGCCTTGGCTTGAGCAACGCTTTGAACAACAAAAAAGTGGTAATTTTAGCAACAAACCAACGACAGCAGTTAACAGAAATACGAGTAGTGCGAGAATTCCTACCCCCTCTCGATTTTTATCGTCAAGTCATTCAACTGCGTATCAGTTTTTGGCAGTAACCAGATTTCTAATGACAACTGGTGTATGAAAGCAGCTTGTCTTTTTAAAAGCGTCAGAAGAGGCTAAACCTGACCAGGTCCTTCTCTCACGCTACCGCTAACAGCACAGAGGGGCTTTGCCAGGGCACCCTGGACGAGCTCGCCTCAGGCACCGGTTCAGCACCGCGG